AAGAGTTTTTTTTAGGAAAATGAGGCTCAGTTTGGGGTTAAAAAAATTTCCCTTAAAAGTGGGTCTTAACAGGGTGTTAATGTAATGGTTTGGTTTATATATTTAAGATGGGGTTTTGTAAAAAGAAGTAAATGCTAGGGTGTTCGGGGAGGGGGGGGAATTAAATTATGGGGGAAACAATACAAAAAAAGGGAATTAACAAATTACTTTTTTTCTGAGATATGTTCTTATGGAATTCTAAAGAAAAAAATTTCAAAGGTTAGTGGATGAGTTTGGGAAAAAGTGTGTAAAGGTAGAAAGTTTTAAAGTGAAGATAGAAAAGAGTAAGGTGATGGGGTATCAAAATGTTTAGATAAAAAAAAAAAGGATTTCAAAAAGGGGGGAGGAGATGGAAAAGGAATGTTTTTTAGATACTTGGGATTGAAGGTGGGGGGATGGATTTTTTTTAAAAGGATAGGTTAACAAGAAAAGATGGGGAAAAAAAAAAGGTGAGTGGGGGCATTGAGTATATGTGGGGTAAAAAAAAGTAATCTATGGAGGCAAAGAAGGGGGTGTAAAAGTACAGTGGACCCTCGCAACGATATTAAAACCGTTCCCCGGGAGCTCAAAAGTTAGTCGAAATTTCGTTAGTCGAGTTAAATTTTTTTTCCCAAAGAAAAAAGGGGAAAACCAATTTAAACCCCTTTTCCAGACAGCCCCCAAAAATATTAATTTTTTTTTTTTCATGAAATTACATTTCCCACAAAAAAACAATAAAAATGCTAATAATACACAAATAAATGTTTTAAAATGACATTTTTCTTTATTTTTAAAAAGGTATTTATGGGGTGATGAGACTTTGTTTTTTTTTTGAACACACTGGGATTTTCAGAATGCACCGGAAAGGCTTTTACTTTGCAATCCCCACTAGCATTACAACCCAAAAAAATGAGAGTTACCCGTCTTTTACAGGCTTGTGTCCTGGGAGTGCCTTTTTTCTGAGTAATGTGGGTCCTGTTTATCATTCCCTTCCAAAAGAAACAGGCCTGTTTGCACAATTGAACACTGTTGGGATTGGGAATTTTTCAGCTTCACCTGCCCTTACACACTGTGTTGGGCCCCCTACAATTCTTAAATCTCTAAGCCAAAAATTGGGTGGCCCCTTTAAAAACACCAAAAATTGAGACTAGTTCCAGGCATTTTTTTTTTCCTGTTCCCTGGGTGTTAGTCAATTTGGGGGTAAAATCCCGGGGGACAAGATTAAGGACCCCCCTGGAAATAAAATTAGTAGAACCTCAATGTGCATGACTTTCTTGGGTTATCCTGGGTGGCTAACCCCCTGGGTTAATCGTTTCTCAGTTTTAATTGGTTTTTTCCCTTTAAGCCCAACAACAAACACCACTCCCACTCTTGAGTAATACAGCTGTGGTGGTGCAGCAACAGCAAAGCTGGACTGTGGTGCAGCAACAGATGACCAGGGGGCAGCAGCAGTGTGGTGCAAAACAGAGGTAACTGTGGTTGCCCGCAGTGACTGTGGGGTGCGCAACAGCTGACTGTAGTGCAGAACGCTGCGATCCGCAAAAAAAGCTGACTGGTCCCCCCAACAGTGACCATGGTGCGCAAAAAGCTGACTGATCCAGCAAAGTGACTGGTCCAGCAACGCTAACCCTGGTGCAGCAACAGCTGGACTGATCGCCCGGA